TTAGTTAAGATATGACTTATTACCACGTGGCAATTCCATTTCGTTGAGATGAAAATCTTTTCTTAGTAATGTAAAAGAAATTGATCCCATTCTCTTAATGGCCAATTATGTAAGGAAAAAAATATCAACTTTTACCTATGAAGTTGACATATTGTATTGTATCAATTTTTGGTCTAACTTAGTTAAAATAAATAAATAAAATAAATAATCTGTCTTAAACTTTCAATTTCATCGAATCACCCTAATCGTGGATAAACGTTGCAACTTTTATTACATGTAAGAAAAAGAAAAAAATTCACCAAGTTTAATGAGCATAAAATCAAATTTGATCCCGGCACAAAATAAACCATTTTATAACTCTATCAAAATTCATGCATTTAAAAAAAATCAATTATAATGTTGTTTTTCTCTAAAATTCTATCCATTCGGTTCAAATATATTTTATAATTTATTGAATACACTTGAGAATATTTTTCTTAATGATTATATTATTTGGTAAAAAAAACTTATTAAGAGGTAAGAATGTGACCCTTTTCAAATTTAACATCAAGATTGTAACAGTTAACTAAGTTTTATTGTGAAAATTGGTACAGCCGGTTAAGTTGAATAAAAATTGAATTTTTTTCACTTATTTTAAAAAACTTGATTGACCGATTAGATTTACATTGTGGTAATATTTTATTCTGATATAATATCATATCAAATATTTAAAAAATTGAATGATAGTATATACCAAAATATCATCCGACCTATTTAGTATCAAATAGCAAGGACTACGAGAAATTTCTCTCATTTATGATGCATTGGTTAGACCAGCACTATTATAAATTCTAATGCTCCAACCTCACGTTAGTCGTTTGTCTCCATCGCCCCCTATGATCCAGACTTGGTAGTACTCCGTCGCCAGTTCAGTTTCTTTTTCGGCCTTTGTCAACTCGTTTTTCTCTGAGTTAGCTAAGGACTATCTTTTTTGGAAAGGTTGCCTAATGACTATCATACAAAATAAAACGTGTTCATTACTAATGCTTAAATTAATCAGCAAATATCAACTTTTAAAAAATTATCATATTTATAATCATTTTTTAGAAAAAAAAATCTGTAACATACAATTACTTTTAAAAGAATATATATATTTACAATTTTTTTACAAGGAAAAAAAAGAACAAAAAAAGGAAACCATTCATTAAAGTTGTTAAAAAATATATATATATTCAATAAAGAGAAATGAAGAAAAAGAGAACCAACGATAGAAAATTTTGAAGATAACTAGATAAGTAAACTAATAAATTACGATTAAATCCAAAAACTTATTCTGACGAGTCACTATAAATTAAATTTTTTTAATTTATCAATTCCAACACATAGTTATCAGAAGGAATAATATTAGAGTTCGATCACGTAACCTCCTACTTTAGTGTTAAACTACCATTGAATCAAAATTTTAAATTAATGGATTATGATAAATTTAATATATTTTTGCTAAAAACATATTTAAATCTAAATATAAAGCAAAAGGTTTTCTTCCATCAAACTAAACATAATTAGTTTCTTCGACCAAAAGATTAGAGGTTAGAATTCTCACATGTAGTTTAACCTTTTGATCATCCTAATAACCCAAGCTCTATTATAAAAGAGGAAAAAATGCACCCAATAAAATTGAAACTTACATGTATAAAAATATATCAATGTTGAAGGGAAAGCCCATTGATCTTACAGACAAGGAAACACAAGCCTACAACTTTCCCCTTTCAATTCAGCCCTTCTCTCTCTCTCTACAGTACAAACTAATTGGAGCAGTTGAATCCATGGCAGATGGAAACCCAAATTATGAGCACAAGAGCTAACAATATCCCAAGAACAACTAGCTTTATCTTCATATTCTGATACCACATCTTCTTCCTCAGTTTAGTTCCTTGCCCTCTGTAAGTCCGAGCCTGTTGATATCAGGATAAATTCGATGATTCTCGGGTCTCGTTCGTTTATACTGATATAATATGCGCTATTAAAATGGCGGGGTTCAGTCGATTTACCTGCTCCCGAAGACTTTCCGTCTTGTCAGCAAGAGAATTGATGTTGTCCCCTCTCTCAAATGCCTGAAAGGACATGGAAAGATCTCATAAGGATTATGGTGAGAGAAAAAGAAGTGAGGGAATCTCGACTTTGTCAAAAGGATGATGAACAGGCGTAGATGCTCAAGGTTTAATTGGTTGGTTCAGCGTCGGGTTTTCGCAAAGGTCGACGTTGAACTGACTCAGTCTGCAAGAATTGAAAAACTAAGTAAAATGGATCTACCTTGAACGGTGAACTCACTACCCAACTGAAACTAACTACCAAAACCAACCAAATCGACAAAACCAAAGTTAATGACTTCTGACTAACAAACATAGTCGAACAGTTTGGTTTGGTTCGATTCGATTCAATAACTTACACCACAATTAGATATCTACCATGTTTGATAGATAAATCATCCACCACAAAATGAAACTCCAAGAAGCATTTTCAGTTTCACACACACATTAGCTAAGCAAATTATATTGAAGATTTAAGGTATGCAAAAAATATGCATAAGTATTCAATTTTATGACTCTCTTTCGATTATGCCAACTCCTCGTGGTGATTATCCTCGAACCGAAGATCTAAATAACAAGATGACAATGATAAATTTCATGTGGTAAAGATTAGAGAGACAAGCGATGCAGAACATTTCCAGATGCACAAGCGTATCATTTACCTTGTCGAGATTCTCCAACATTATACTCCTAACTTCCGATACTTGTGCCTTCACTTTTATCAATTTTTCAATCTCTTCCGCATGTTCGATGATATACTTCATGTGTTCTTTCATAATTGGCCTGAAAAGAGCCAGTGAGAGTATGTATCTTGATATGCTTCACTCAGGCAAACATACACATACATGTTCGAAATCAAGCTTTTCAAGTACGGACTTACCCGAAATCCTTATTGAGACTTTTTGCAACAGCAGTATCGGCTTTGCCTCCCCCATATCTTTTCTTAAAGTCGGCTTTCATCCGTTCCAAAAAGGCTATGGAAATCTGCTTACTGAGAGATTCTTTCGCCACGACACAGTAAGCTGCAAAACTCCATGAAGGCACCATATATATGGGGTTAAAACAAGAGAGATTTTCTTGAACTTACAAACAAAGAAGGAAGAAACAAAAATTTCACAAATTTGAAACTTAGAAACTTCATGTTTTGATGTCATATTTGAAAGCCATTCACAACAAATGATAAAATTACAAAGCACTTATGACATTTTACAAACATTCTCACATTGAGAACCTGGAAGTAGCTAGTTACGTTTCTGTTTCTTAGTTCTCTGTTTTTAGAAAAATTATGCTTCATTAACTAACACTTTCCTTTGTTTGGCCATGTATACTTCAAAAACAGTTCTAAATTCTTAGCCAAATTTTGAAAGCTAGAACAACTTTCCAAAAATATTTTCTTAATTGCAACCCGTAAAGTGAAGTTTCTGCACAGAAGCTCACTTCACCTAAGCGAAAAATCCGCAATCAAGCAAAATCAACAACACAGTACAGTTCCAAATTCGATTTCCCCTAATGATTTCGTGCAAATTAACAAGAAATTGAAAGCAAATATTGTCAAATAAGAGAAACTCAATCGTCATTGGACCAGATCCAGCCATTTATAGCTGGAATTCGATTTTCCCCGCTCGGAAAATACCGAAATCGAAAAGTAAAGAAATCAAAGTCAAGAAGTGGCCATAAAGCATTCTTACCATAACCATCTTCGACGAGGAAATTAAAGGTGTGGTGGTCGCAATTGTAAGTGAACTTATTGTTGGAAGAAGTAAGTTTCTGGAGACACTGATTCGCAATCGCCGGGAAGTTTCCGGTGAACTCGGTGTACTCGGCCAAGATCATGGTTCCTCTGGCCACGAAGCTGTAGATGAACGAGTCCTGACTCATCTTCTTTTGCGGCGGCGAGTGACTGAGTGACTGAGTCAACTCGGACGAAGAGGAAACAGGACGAAATCCAGCGAGATCGCCGTGTTGGAAAGAAAGGAGAAAACCACTTTCGTTCGCTTAATAAATAAAAGGCCGTGTTTGGTTTTTTTTTTTCTTTTCCTCCTTTACTTTCAGAAGAAGAAATGAAATTCCCCAATTGATTATTATTTTTATTATCTATTTATTTTAGTACACTTTGATTAATATTATTATTAGTGGTAGATTTGGTCACTTAGGGAAGGTCAGATAATCAAAGATTTGGTCCTCAGTTTACGTAATGGTGTCGTATAATAAGAACTTAAAAGTGGCAAATAAACAAATAACTTTCGGCAATAAAAAAATAATCAAATAATAGCATGTTCGGCTTTTAAAAATAATAATAATAATAATAATAATAGAATGTTCCGGATTGATGTAGTCTTTATTCGAGTGCAACATATAGGATAGGTCAAACTCACCTCCTTTTAATTGGAGATATATGTCAATTACCATTAAAACAAACATAGTTTAGCGGTAATTGACATATTTTAAATACGTCCTAACCATTACAACATAATTAATATTTTAAATACAAAGGCTGTGTCAAATATATCATAATATTTGCGAATGATAATTAATTTTTAAAAAAATTGTAAACATAATTTTAGTCATGTGAAATAACTTCCAAATACATCTAAAAATCAATTTTATCTTTTACTTTAATTGAATTATTTAATTCCAACGTTTCTAACGACTTAGTTGGTGTATTCTTTTAATTTTTAATAATTTAGTATTTAAATTTTAGTGTGCAACCATTTAGTCATTGTAGTTTAAAATTTGTATTGACTTAGTCAATATCTTAAAAAAATTGTTGTTAATATTTAATAGGATTTCCTATATATGTAGATGACTAGTGACAAAGTGTATTTATAAACTTCGAAAACTAAATATTATACCATAAAAATCGACACGCTTAATTTTAATGAGATTTTTCATTGTAGATACTAAATTATTACAGATTTTAAACTATACTAATTAAGTTGTCACATATTAAAATTTGAAACTAAATTATTATCCACTCGATAATACAATAACTAATTCATTAGGAATCAAAATTGATGTACTAAATAATTACTCGATAAAATTATAGGTACAAAAATATTTTTTAACCACCCAATATATTCCAAAGCGTTTGTCTCTCTTTTTTATTGAGTATAAAATGATATGGGGCTTATTAAGACTGAACTAGTAGTTGCAGATGAAAGGTATTAAAATAAATAACAAATGCTGACACAATCTCAATGCTTAAAACATACTTTTTTATTTCTCTCGTCGGGTTGAAATTTTTCTAACTTTATATTTGTTATATATGTTAAAAATATATTAAAATACTCTATACTTCTATTTTAAATATTGTGTTTAATAGATTTATGTATTAACTTGTCACTTGACACTTGACGCTTCTGTAGCATGAAAATTACTATTTTTTAAAATATTAAGTGACAAGTATATTTTGAGTGTATTTAGATATTTAATAGATCTATATATTAGCTTTATCATTTAAAGCTAAAAGCTATATTTGTGGTAGTGTGTGAGTGTTGGATATTAAATTGATACAAATTAAATAATGTCCTAAGACATATAAAATACATAGTTAAAAGTTCATTTACCCAATAAAAGTATTTTAAAGTATAAGAAATAACTGTACACAATCTTGAAAATGCGATAAACAAATAAAGGGAAAAAAAAATCAAAGCATATTTTTATTGAGTTTTTGCGATAAAAACAAGCTATCTTTTAAAAAAACAAAATATTAAATCAGAAATTCTCTCTCTACTTAAGCAAGCAAGAAATAAGTCAAAGTTTAACTACCGCAACTTATTTCATAGCTTTGTTAATAGTAGGTTTAATTCCACGATAAAAGAGTTATGTTTCCAAACTCAACTGTAATTGGCACCTGTCTTTGACTAAAAGGTATCACGAGATAACTTTTAATTCTTCGACACTTATTCATCTTCTTTACTCATATATCTCATTAAAATTTAGACATAATTTCAATCGAATAATAATAATTTTCAAAAAATGCCTGTTTAATTTCGTAAGTGAAAAAAAAAAACTCAAGTTTGCATGAAAATATAGTTGTAATTAAATTACAAGTTTAGTTTTGAATTTTAAAAGTTATCTAATAAATTATACTTCTAATTTTGTATCTACTAAATTCAACCGTAAAAGTGTCAAATCAATCTCTAAACTTTATTAAAATGGATGAATTTATTAAATTTAAAGTTCATTAAACATAAACCATACTTGTCAGCACTTATTTACAGCACTCCAAATTTAAGGACTCTTTAATTTAAAAAGAAAAATACAGAAAAGTTAGACCTTTCTTTTTTTATTGAAAACTTGTAATTTAGCGTATATAATTCATCATTCAAACAAATAATTTTTCATTTATCCGACTACGTTTCTTCAATAGCCCGCCAAAATGCAGTGCACAGAAATCGAATTTCCCGCTTCCATTTCCGCTCGAATCGACGGAACGATGATTCTCCACCGCAATCTCGTGATTGTTCGCTATAAATACTTCGCGCAGCACTTCCGCTAAGAGATTTTTCGAGTTTTGAACGGATGATCTCAAATGGAATTGAGGCGCTCTCGATCCGGCTCCTCGTTCTCTTCCTCATCCAGGTCGGTCTCTCCTCTCTCACTATCCTCTGAAATGTGATTTGTAAGTTCATGTTGTAAATCGGCACCGCGTTTGCGTTTTCATCTTCTATCTCTGTGTCCATGTCGTCCGCTGCTCTATGAGGAAGTCTTTCTTGATTTCTCTATGTTCATCGGTGTTTTTGCGTAATTGCTGTAGTGCCTGGATGCTGCTGTGTCGAGAGAGAATTTTGAAGGAAAACAAGAAAACAGAGGGCGATTCATCGGAGTTTCGAGTGAGTCGATTCCTAACTGACTTGAATTTTCTAATTAGAAATGTTTGCGAATATATATGAAGCTGTTGGAAGCTCGAGATCCGAGCTTATGCTTCCGATTATGAATGCAATCTTCTCGATTGCCAAACACGTATTCCTAAAATAGTTGATCGTTCAAACATACGGTTATTCACGATGATTTAACGAATTAAGTTGAATTTGAGGGAGTAGATTTGCTATGTCGAATTAGTTGGTTAAAAACTCAAAATACATTTCTGGCTCCTGCTGAATTTTGTTTTCTTGACTACTTCTGGCCTCTTCCTTTCTTATTCTTTATTTTGTTTTATTGCTTGCGTTAGTATTAGAGACAGTTTATTGTCCCTTGATTGATTAATCTTGGATTGGTATTCAATCCAAGTTTACTAAATTGAAAACGTTGTTTAATTGCAATTATGATGAAAAGTCGAGAAAAAAAATTTACAGTTTCTAAACAGATTGTGCAAGTTATTTTCGCATTCATAAAATTCAATATCATGATATTATGTCTCTCCATTTAGAATGAGATCGAGGTCCAATTGGCTTGAAATGACGGCATTCCATTTGGTTTATTCTATTTTTCTTGATTCTCAGTCCTTTTGTTTGCTTGTCCACTTGTTTTGATGTAATCCGGCTCATGAAACTTCAAAGAGATTAAAACAAAAAAAGGACAAAGATCAAATAGTAAGTTAAGCATAAGATACTTCATTAACTATTCTCATTGTCGGAATGTTAGGCTCGATGCCAACATCAAAGCTACTGAAGCTCGAGATCTGACCAATTTTGTTCTGATTTTGAGGAACTGTCAAGATTGCCAAACACAAGTTCTCGTTGATTCGTTTGAGGTACGTTAGTTTTGTTATATCATAGATATTAAATGAAACTGCATTATATGAACTGAAGAAGATGATTTTGAATTATCTTTTTATTATTTCAACTCAAGTGACTTCTTGAATTTAACTTAATTTTTTTTTTGTTGCATTATTATGAAAAATTAATTTAAAAGTAGCTTTCAATATTATTTCTTAAAAGCTATTGCTAATCTATGCTTAAAATCTGCTGTTTTGTACTACAAATTTAGTTTTTGAGTTCAAGTAAAGTACAAATTTTCTTTTGTGTAAAATAGTTTATTGATTAAATGTACGTTCATGGTTCATCGATAAATGAAAATTTTAAATTTGTAAGTCAAATGTATTAATTGGACGTCAAAGAATACTCTATTTAACTATTTTAATTTTATTACATCTTTTCTTTGGCCATAAATAAAGCATGTTATGACTTTTACCGTGTTTACATTGCTTTCTCAAAAACATTGACATTGCTTTTAATCTTTATTCTGATTCTTCTATATTCAATGAGAATGATTAAATTTACCGAAGTCTGCTCTTTTAATCTTTTTCAATTTAATGCTTAATATTTTAAGCATAGTTTATGTTTGTCTAGTTGATTAGTTGACTGTTTTAATTAATTAGAAAGCCACTGATGAATAATATATGGTTTTTTTCTTTTTTCATATCTTGAAATTTACTAGAGAAAACATTCTTGTTTAGGTTTTTGTACTTCTCAAAAGTGAAAAGTGAAAATTTTGGTCCATAAATTTTTATTTTTTTTAATCACAATTTAGCATAACAATTCACAAACTAAGTTTCTTGAAATTTAGTCATAAATTTTATATTCAAAATTTTCATTGTGTAAAATATTTGTGTTAAAATTTAGATCAAATTGGTAAAGTACATGGATCAAAACACGTATTTTGAGAGTACTTAGATTAAGAAAAATAAAAATTAAAAGTAAGAAGATAAAAATAGATATTTTGAAAATACATAAACTAAAATAAAGCAAAATAAAAAAAATACAAAGAATCAAAATAGTATTTAAACCTCTTAAATATTGTTTTTTTTTTAAATGAACTCTTAAATAATTGCTACTCTTTATAGTTCAAGTCACGTATTTCTGCAGCGCCCAATTCTTGTATAAATGAAGAATAAGCTTCAGAATTTGTTGGAAATTAATTAGTAAATTGTTTTTTCTATTTTTTGAGTTAAAATTTTAAGAGAATGTATTTGAGAATAGCTGGTCTTAAAAAATTATTTTTTAGAATAATACTTTCCTAAAAGTTTCTACTGTACCTCGCTTTAGTAAACTCTCACAAATGACATTTTTTAGATTAAATTAAGGCTGTTTTTTATTTTTCAAAAATCATAGTTTAAAAGAGTAATTTTAGTGCATACAATAATAATGTCTCGATTTTTAAAAGTAATTTCATTTGGTCTATTTTTTTAATTTATTTTTTTCATGTACTTTCAATTTTAGAATTTTATTAATTTTAGTTTTAAAGTTTTTATTCTAGTCTCTATATTTTTTAAAATTGATTATTTTTTCCTTTATTTTCACTTTTATCTAATTTTTTTCCATCACTTTATTAGTATAACATTTCATTTTTGAAATATTGTCGTATATTTGTATTAAAAGTTATATATATATATATATAGTTATATATATACACATATATATATATATATATATTTTTTGAAGATGCTGACAAATGAGTGTTCAAACCAATAATTTCAAACCAACTTCAATTTACTTTTTTCCCGATTGGTTAAATATTTGGTGAGAACAGCAAACTCATTGGTCAAAAAAAGTAGCAACAAGAAAACAGTCTGTCACTGTCAGGGTCAGTTCCTTAGACCAATTTCCAAAGTTAGATCTAATCGGGCTTTTGTCTCTTCTAAACTAGGCCATGTCTATACTAATAGTTAATATATTAGGGTGATTCAAATAATAATTATAGTAATGCAAATTTTGTACTGTACTAATAGTCATGTATTTACGGCGGCAACTCGATAAATATCGATAAATTCTGTCTTCTAGATATGATTTTCTAATAATACCTCTAATACAAACAATCTATAAAAATTAGGGGGGAAAGGAGTTGGACCGATCCGAAAAGTCAAACCAAACCAAGCTGATTCGGGTCGGTTCGGTTCGAATGACTATACATGCTAAATCGAATTCTGTCTTGTTTATTTTCTTTTAAATTATATTTAAACATTTTCAAAAAATCTATATATTGTGGGAAAGATCAAATTAACGTTTTATATTATTTTTATAAGTAAAATGCCTAAAATCTGAACACCTAACTTTTAGAATTAGTTTTAGATATAGAGTTAGGAATCTCTGTAGGAATGGGAAAAATTTTACATTCTAATTTGTGTATATACTGTTCCAATTTTAAAAATATTGGGGCATTGAAGAGAGAAAATTTTCAATCTTTTTATATATATAGTTTTAATTTAAGACTAATTTAGAGGGTATCCTTTTTTCTTTGCTCTACCCTTGGATATATGTGTGTATATTTATATGCATGGATTTGTTTTGCAATTACAACAATGGAAATCAAATATAAGAAACAAAAGAAAATGAATTTTTTCCTCAATGGCTTTTGGACGTAATGGAGAGATAACTCAAAGGTAGCCCAAGAGGCATCCTTTCATTAATAAAATTTCTCCATTAAAAAAAATCTTTTGATTCATTGCATTTTTTCAATTTTGCAACATCCATTAATTGAATTCTAAACTTGTAAAATCACTTAAAAGTTTACACAAGTTTACACAACCTCCATCAAAAGTTTACACAAATAAAATTAGTGATTTTAATTTTTACATGGCAAAGAAACTATTTCATACAAGTCCACTTTTAACAAATTGAACCATACGTTGAATAATCTTATATTATTTTTCTCATATTAACTAATTGTATTCGTGTAAACTTTTAAAACAGGGTCTAACTCTTAACTCTACTTTTCAAGATTGAATACATGAATTTCAATCCACTAATGATTGTGTGTGGGGCTTACTTGGAAGAAATGTTAAAGATCTGCACTTCAAAGACTTCTAATTAAAAAAAGTATTCAAACCTAATTCTGGTTCTTTCTTAATTCTTGTTTTTAAAAAGTTTGTTTTCATTTTACAAGCTATAAAAGAGCTTTTGAACTTATCTTTTGAATGTGAATTGTACGCTTATTTGATTTGTATTGCCTCTGAATGGCTACCTTCAAATTTTAGAATGCTTTTGCATTGAAAAACAAGATACAGAAAATTGGAGTCATTCCTTTTTGAGATGTTAGATTTTTTAAATTTATACCCTATTGTTTGAGTCGGGTATTTTAATCTAAATTAAGAAGTTATGCTTAATTTTTTTAAAATAGTATTTTACATTTACTGTAATTTGTAAATTGAGTTGGGTTTAGATTTGAAAATGTTTTATAAAATTTGATAGTTCTTATGTTGGGTTTTAAAAAAATTGTAGAATGTCACTCTTAAGGTACTTCATATAATTAGATACCACACTTGTAAGCTTATTTGACACAGCTTCCTACTTTTACTTTTTACTTCGATCTATTTTACTGTTTTTTAAAGTAAAAATCAAACATATAAGATAATATTTTGGATTTTGGAAAAACAAATGCAGTACTTCTTTGAATAACTATAAGATTCTAATTTTATTTTTTCATATCAACTATAAGATTCTACTTGAAGCTTGATTTGGAAGACAAAGTGATCCAAGTTAGAAAAGTTTTGGGAAAAGTAAGATGTTAGGGATACGTATAAAATGGAAGACGAAGTGCCGTCAAACAAAAATAAAATTTAATACCTTTTTGCAATTCACATAAAATATCAAATGTATTTTCCAAATTCGCAAAACTGAAATATACAAATTTATCAAATATTTATAATTTCATAGATGAGAACCGCAAACTTTGAGTTCATTAAAATGAGTTAGAAAAGACCCAGGTAAAATTCTCCTAAACCAAAAAAGAATAATACACTTGCTATATATCACTAATTCCAACGGCTATTTAAGGAGTTCAAAAAACTGGAAGATAAATCCACTAATAAATTATCAAAACCAACCTCAGCGATGGAGGTTCCAAGCAGCACTACAATTTTAGAAGCGTTCAAAGAGGTCAAGGAAGGCTCTCAACGTTCATGTTCGCAATATTAACTAACCGTAAATTGAAATAAATTTCGGGGAAAAGAAATTTTGGATTCTTCTACTGTTGACGAACTTCGGCTTTCTTCTTCTGCCACAGCCTGTCCAAAGCACTGTCGGCATCTCCCTGATCAGTATAAAACCACTCAAACATTAGTTTCTAAGTGAATCCTTTAAGCTTCTAAATATTTGACACAGAAGGCTAATTATTAAACATAGGTCATTCTCAGCTTGTATATCGAGATGGGACAAGTGTTAACAAAACCAATTCAGATCTATTTTGAATTAAACACAAAAAATAAGCAAAAGTTATTAAATGTACATAAATTTGAGAGGTCGAAAAAACTAGTTGCCCCTTTCTAAAACTACAATTGCTTGTATCAACATATTTAAAGAGCATTCTAAAATCCAATAGAACATTGTTAAGAAATCAGCAATAATATATTTCACTCTCATGATGCATTATTTCTCTCCCGCATTTCCTTTTAAGTCCATTTTGACTTTGACAAAAATAATAAATTAACAGATGATATATTAACACTTCAGTTCAAGTTTCCTATAATTGTTCATTATCTTCTGTGACCCAACTCTTTTAAAAAAATTATAGATATAAAGGAATCTACATATGATCGAAGAGCATATAAGGAAGACTTTAAAACTACTAAAACCAGTAACACTGTAGCATGTAGATAAATGTAACTACCTTGAAAACAAAGATAATCCCAAGAAAGTACCAGGCGTAGAAATTCAACAAGTCTTTTTAATAATACAAAGAAAGAAGCAAATCAATGAAACACAAATCAAAATTTTCAACAAACAGAGAGTTTTTCAAATTACAAAAAGCTTTTATGTCTGACGAATTAGACACAGTTAGTGAATAAGAAGAATGTAATGAAGAGCCATAAGTCACAGAATAGCATAGCAAAAAGAATCGTAAAAGGTGTTTAATGACTACCACCAAGTTAAAAAACTACGATGAAACTGCAGAATATTCAATCGAAGCATTACTGATTAACGACATTTTAGGGAGGTAAATTAATCAACATTATCAGTTTGTATGTCAGTGAATCAGTTACAAGATAGACAAAATTAACGAAATGAAGAACAATAAATCACGTAAAAGCGTACTGAACAGAAGCATGAAGAGAAATTATATGATAGACAAGCTATCCAGAAACATAAACAGTCATGGTTAATGAAATAGAACCTGAGCACGGATGAAACCACAAAGTGCGAAAGTGGAGAATTGGCCTGTATAGATGCCATTCTCATCGACGTGACCGATGTTGATCTGAACCGAGGCGTGGTCCTTGGAAGTGATGAGCCGATTTGTAGCGGAACTGAAATTCACAACGAAAGTTCTTATAAAGTTAAAATCCAAAAAGCAAATAGAAGAAAACAACCAGTGTTTTGTGCAGATTAAGTTACTTACCACTTCCTAGGAATGTAAAGCTCCGTGATCTTTCCCTCTTCGTTCTGCATTTTGGCTGCGGCGACTAAGTTCGTCAAAGATCTGGAGAAAAACCTGCTTCAATAATGAAACGATGCATTAAAACGTCAAAAATTGATTTCTAATCCATCATATGGATATGAACAAACGCTTAGAGGAATCAGAAGTACACAGCACAAAATAAGATGCAATTTCAGCGTTCGATTCATAAGATATTGTTTCAAGTTTAGCGGAGATAACAGATCGATTTCTCGCTCACACAGTCGATGAAGAGGAAGTAAAAAAAGTAGTCGAAAAACTAGTTGATGATTTTCAGGGAGTAGAAGCGTAAGAAAACTACCAAAGAAATCCGAGAATAATCGATTCAAGCGAGATGAACAACAAGACGAGAGGACGTACCAATCGGCCGACTGCTGAGAGAGGGATGTTGGGAGGAGTATTCTTAGGGTTAGGTTAAAACCCTAGCTTCTTATATACGAGCCATTTGTGGGCCTGTATTGCGGCCCAAAAAGGTAAAGTGTCTACGTTCTTATATGGAGCCCATATCTTGATTGGGCCGTTGAGGTCCAGAAGAGGATTTCAACCGAATTAGACCCTTTAGATATGACATATTTATGATATTATTTAAAGATATTGTTGCTTCTATATTTCCGTACTAAATAATATAATTAATTACGATGGCTCGATTAACTTCTAGTGCAAATGCCAAACAAGCATAGTGAAATGTTCAAATCTCACCCTCTACGTTATTAACTAAAAAATGTATATCTATAGAGAAGTATGATATTTTAATAGGAGCGGCAATAAACATCTGTCATATACTATAGTTTTAAGTTCGACCATAATACTTATTTTTTAAAAAAATCAAGACATGGTCGTCTCTCGAGAGATGATCATCTGTTGGCATACATTTTGTTTTCGTTTATTCAAGAGACGATTACAATAATATTGATTTTTTATGAAAAAAATAAATATTATTATATATTAAACAGTATAACCTTTATGAATATTACTTAGTGGTCGTGGGTTCGGGCAATGAAAAACGGATCTATCAAGATTCGAACTCAAGTAGTCGAGTAGATAAGGAGTTTAAAAATCTACTGCACCACAACTGAATTTAAAGTTCTAAAACAGTTGTTTAATATATAATATCTAATATTTTATTTATTCCTAAAAAAATAAACGTCATTGTGGCCGTCTCACAAAATGCGTGCCAATAGAGAAACAACCATGTCTTGATTTTTTTAAAAAATAAGACGTGGCACTAATAGAACGTCACATCATTATGGTCGTCTCTAAGAAACGACCAACTGCTTAAAATGGCATGGTCGTCTCTTCATCTCATCGACTGTCAAGTCTCGCTTTCTTGATTCCCGTGTAGGTATGATCACATCATCTATTTAAGTGGAAGTGTTGTCATGTTATGCACTAGTTCTCGTGGAGGTGCAATCACCTCGCAGCAGGACTTGTGACCAAGGCCGTCCCGAGTTTCATGGTGGCCGAGCAGGCTTCAGCTTAGTGGTTTGTGACCATTGGCTGTCCGAGTCATGCTTCCATGCTCTTTGAGACTATATAAACTCGTTTCACTTATTCACATTTCACTCACCTCTTCCATTAAGAGACGATCAAGTGTGACTCAACAATTTCAGAAGTAATATATTTGGAATAAATTCAAAATAAGCATTTTTTCTCCAATTTGATTTAATGTCGTATTATTTTAAAAATAAACTTAAATAAAAGTATTTAAAAAAATCCCAAAATTATACATTATAACTTGTAGCACATATAATTTTTAAATTTTAAGGTTCGGGCGAAATGGATAGAATATTTTAAAAGGCTAGTTTCCTAAAAATATTTTTTCTTCCTTAATTTGTATAGAGACAAACCAACAAGGAGATTACCCGTAGTTCATTTTTTAATTCACTATTTGACTCGGCCATAATTAATCTTTTTTTAGTTAAATAATCTAGATAAGAAGTTGAATCGAGATAGTAATAAGTTATTTTTTTAGTAAAACAATTTGGAAATATGATGGGTCAACCTCCAACCTTAAGAGAATGAATACATGTCAATTATCGTTAAGTTATGCAGGTGTTGGCACATGTTTAGAGTGCTTAATTCAACCATAATTTGGTTAATAATGCATTTATACCTTATTTGAATTTGAATCTCAAATGCTTGAGTTGGCTAACTTTTACATTTTTCAAGTTAATAGAGAGAAAAAAATAAAAAAACATAAGATATAAGAGATTTTAAAGAAAAAAATATCTGATTAGTTACTAGTGAAGTCAGATCTTGTTATTGTTACCGTTAAATATATAAAAACTGAGAGACAAAAATACAAAAATACAAAAATATAGATATTTTAATTAATGAATTTTCAAATTTTCAGGTAGGACATAAACATAATTTTGTTATCGTAAATTACCTAAATTATTTCCATTCTTAAATACATTTACAACACGTTGGGGTGACGTTGACAACACAGGCCTTCTTAAATTACCGCACGCGTTTAGTCACAGATCCTTCTGTTCCCTTTCTCTATTTGCAAATTCCAAATTCAAATATTTCCATTTATGAGAGGGTTTTCCTTTCTGTCATTTTTTTATTTCCATTAAATATCACAAAATCCAAATCACATTTAAAAAATGTATTAAAAAAGGGTGGCAAATACCGTTTCGACACGTGTGCATTGGGTTGCCATAAAAATATCGGCGTACTCGTACCTGATTACCTCTCTTTGTCATGATTTGCTGTCCTCTTAACTGGCATTACCACCACATACAGATCATGCTTTTCCATTTTCTTTTGGATTTCATTATTATTATTTTATGGTATCATTATAACTCTTGGCTGCATTTTTTTCTCTCTCTCTCTCATTCAAATTATTTGAAATTCCTTTTTTTTAATTATAAAACTCAAATTATTTAATTATCTGAAGTGTAAAATAAGTATGTATTTTCAAATAGACCACATAATTTTGAACTTTTACGAAAATATCCTCATCTAAATCAAATTCAAACCCAAATTTATGCAGTGAAAATGTCTCTAATTTTTATTTTAGTTTTGAAGCCTATGATATATTTTTAAATCTTAGCCCACTCTGGTTTAATTTTCATGAGAGTTCAAGGATGATAATAAGAACTTAAAGATTTTTTTGGAACATAAAGTCATTAGAAATGTGGAGGCTCTCTTTATGAATTTTCAGTATACTTTTACTTAGATTACGTAACAATTTTTCTTAAAATAATAATAATAATAATAATAATAATAAATATAATCTAACAATTGATTTTTTTTTTTTTAAGAATGATAACCTAACAATTAGTTAAATACAGATAAACGTACTCGATTGTCTCGCTAATTTACTTGGGAATGAAATCATACAACTCGTATCCTCACCAAGCTCGCTTTATATTTGAATTTACACCATACTTGGTTACAAAGGCTCGTTGAATAAAACGTCTTGTATTATCATTCAAGAGATGAATGTACCTCCTGATGCCGTCTCATTCATTCATTTAATATGTTTTATTAAAAAAATACTCATGTTTTGTTTCAAGAATGTACACTTTGTTCAAACAAGTTAATTATTATACACAGATCAAAGTATCTCATCAACTATAGGATTTATTATCTTTTTGGAGATGGGATTTTTAATCTTGACGAGAATGAATAAGATAATAAATAAATCAGCATGAGTTTAGATCAGGACATATATTTACTACTACCAAGATATGAGTTTGAATATATCCTCTTCGTACTAAAAAAACAAGAGAACATAAATAGAACTCGATAATTGTACTAATTAACTAGTTTACCGCGAATGTCAAAATTAGTTTTGGTTGATTTAAGTTACTAATGTAAATATTTTAATTGATTAAAATTAATTTTAAAAAAATTAATAACTTCAATTATCTTTTTTTTTCCATTAACCAAATCTATAAAATAACTCTCAAATATTTAACAATTCCATTGGTTCAAATCTAGTTTGTGTTTGCCAACGTGAGTATTGATGAACCATTCAAGTATCTAACTCAATTATTTGAAGTCGGAGGTTCAATCTCCACCTCCTTATTTGATGTATTACAAAAAGAAAAGTTTGTATTTTTGAAAAATCTGTGATTCAAATATAATTTGAATTGAAATTCTTTGAGCGGAATTTGAACAAAAATAAGTTAACTAGCTATATATATATCTATTAAATGGGATACACAACTTATAATCAAAACTAGGGAAAAAAATAATATTAAGCTATTTTTTTTTCCGAAAAAAATCTTAAGCTTTTTTAAAAGATGCGTATTGGGCTTTTTTTTGTTCTTTGGTTGAGAAAAATAGATGCGTATTGGTCAGTAGACGTGCAATGTCAACTTTTATTTCCTTTGCCGAAAAAAATGTCAACTTTTCATCAGGTCAATTTTTTTAATAAACAAATAATTTTAGATTACATAATTTTAAAAATTCAAAACCAATTAGCTGGCATGTAATATCTTGAAATTTTATTAAATTTAAAATTATTATTTATTAATTAACAATATTAACCAGTTGATCAAAAGAATGAACTTTTTTTTTTCCTATTTTTCGGTTGTGGCCGGCAACAATTTAAAAGGGAATGCCAAAAATATTTTATTTTTATTTATTTATCATTTGTTTGAATTCGTCCTTTATTAGTGGGTGCCAATAAATTTCTTCACATCCATATAATAATAATTTTGAAAGGTAAGCGTAAGCCTAGGCGCGTAGAGGTTAAGGGGCAATCTCGGTAATTGATGAAAAAGCAGTGGCAATATCGGTAATTAATTGAAAAACCAGCGGCATTTCTGTACAAAGCTTGAGTTATATTCACGGACCAGCCCTCCCTCAGTTCCTCTCGAAATCAACGGAACCTCCAAATGGAAATCTCACGCGTCTCTTCTCTCCTAGCGGCGTTCGCCATTTTCGCCGCTCATCTTCTGCTCTCATCGGCGACGGCCGCTGATTTCTCCGGCGACCACAAGCTCCTCTACGTGCCGGCCAAATCGGAGTGCCGAGGCTCAATCGCCGAGTGCCTGCTCGCCGGAGACGATTCCGGCTTCGGAACGGAGTTCGAGATGGACTCGGAGATCAATCGGCGAATTCTAGCGACTATGCGGTACATCAGCTACGGCGCGCTGAAGAGGAACAGCGTTCCTTGCTCCCGCCGCGGCGCGTCTTACTACAACTGCCAGCCCGGAGCTCAGGCGAATCCTTACAACCGCGGTTGCAGCGCAATTACTCGCTGCCGGAGCTAATTTGACCTGATTTTTTTTTATCTAGATTCATCGTCGTGTTCTATCGGTTAGTAATTCGTGTGTTTATACTGAATATACATGTCGATTGAGTAATAAGCTCCATACTGATGATTGAAAATGTAATCTACATCTGTTTCTGAGTCTTCTCTCCATGATTTATTTTCCTTTTTCGTGGCTGATTCTGGTTATTTCCAGAAACATTCGTCCTTGTTTGCAATCGATAATACAGTGGTAGGAACACAGCATTTGTGTAGTGTATTTTACAGATGGATCTTGCTGAACTCGCAGGGCCATTATTTTAGTTCTTTATTTGTTCATTTTATATTAATTTTTCTATTCGTTTATTTATTTATTTATTTTTGGTTGGTTGAGTTTTTGGCTGTCAAGATTGGGCTATCCGAATGGATGCAGATTTTCTACGTTGATTATCATTATCTTTCACTCTTGTTTTCTGAAAAAAAAAATATTTGTTGGGTAACGAATTTAGTGTGTGTGTGTGTATATATATATATATATATATTTCAATATTGTCCATATGAGTCTGAGCTCAAGTTAAAAGTATTAGTAATTTCATTTTTTTTCTCTAATTTCTAATTTTTTAAAAATATAAGAGTTTAGTAATTTTGAAAACAACAAAATCAAGTTAGTGTTCATATTTAACTGATAGAAACATTATTTTATCCTTTTTCTATTTATAAAAGGTATAATAAATATAACATAAAATTTTTTAATATTTAATTTGAAATTTTAATATTCATATTAATTTTTTACTTTTTTAATTTAAGATTTTAGAAAACAACAAACATTACCAGATTTATTTCCGTTTGTTTTACCTCAATAACAAAAAGGAAGAAAGAAAAAAGCAATTGTGTTTCTATTAATTAAAGAAAAACAATAAACATAAAAATTACCCAAATGAGCTGAAATTGTTTAGTTTCTTAATCTTCCATACTCTCCTAATTAAATTTGAATTTCAAACCGTTTTTTATTCCTTAAAATTACAAATAAAACTATGTAAAGAAATTATCCATGAAATTCAAAATTATATAATCCAATTTGTTTTTAAAAAATCATTTAATTAATTTTGTACCCAATACAACAAATGTGAGCTAAAATCCAAGCATGTGAAGGTTGGATTGCAATTAGTGATGACGAAAACTCCAACTAAGACTGATTAAGAGGCAGGCAACGGAATCAGGCTAATGAGTTAACCTCACATGGCGGTCACTGAAGGCCCTGTGAATTGGACTTCCACGCCCGTCTTTAATAATGGGATCTTCGCTTTTTGGTTACACTGTTATTAAGTGCCTTGTATGTGTCGCTGTCATTTTAGCATCCGTGAATCCCTCGCCTTCTCGAAGGTATATAATTTGGGACCACCACGTTGTGGGGCCCACTTTTTCCCTTTTTTTTTTTTTTAGAAAATTGTTTTTCTTTTTCCCAATGAATGAGCAGTATTTTAATTTTTAAATTTCAATTCATCCGTTTGAACTCCGGCGTCTCGTTATATTTCCACTTTTCTGCGTCGAAAATCGGAATTAGATAAGGCGGATTTGGTTTGAATTGGGTTTTCATATTTTTATTTATTTATTTTATATTTAAATATTATTTTGTTCCATGTACCTTAATTTGATTTTTACTTATCATAATAGTTTMCACTCCTCCATTTTCATCCATACACTTCTAAAAAGTAACAATTTTGATTCCTTCGTTCTATTTTTATTATATCATCTATTTCGATCGCAATTTTAATATATTGATTATATTATTTCAATCTCGACGATTGAATAATAATAGATTATTATGATTCCGAGAAAACCGTTGTAATGAAATCGATAGACACGCTGCTCTTAGAAAGCAGTGCTAGGATTTTTTTAGTACAGCATGTGGGAGTTGGGATTCGAACTCACAACCTCTTAGTTGAACATATGTGTTTTAACTTGTTGAACTATACTCTAATTGGTATAAGAAACTGTTTTAATACTTATCAATTACTTAGGTAAATTATTTAACCCAAGTGAAATATATATATGTACGTTATAGTTTAATAAATGAACATTTTACTATTTGTAAAGTTACAAATTATTATTATTAGTATCATGTCCAAGATAATTTTTTTTAATATTTTGTATATAATTAAAATATCAATTTATCTTCTAGGTAGACCTCAAATCTTTAGAAACATTAAATTTTCAATGGAATATCATCGTGTCATATCAAATAGATAATATATTTATATGCAACCTAAATATTGCAATTAATTAGCAATTTTAAAAAAATTTAAAAACAAATAGAGTTTTTTCTCATTGCTTTCCTTTTTTTTTTTTTTTACAAAGCATTTTAAGAGTTGATGATGATTAATTTTCCAAATATTTCATTTCGATTTCAATTATAAATTTATAACTCCAAAAAAGGCAACTGAAGACACGGGTAGGATTATGCCACGTGGAGAAATATCAGAGAATCAGAGAGTCGAGCATTTTACAGGTTGATTGATAAATTGAGTGGCCTCCGGTGCATGCTTTGCTATTGTTTAGTTTACTGACAAATATGAACGTTGCTGGAAAATTACAGCGGCTGGGGCCCACTACCCATGGCACACACGTCACGTCACCCAGCCGACATGTCGTTTCGTTTGTTTCGGCGAAGGCTCCATACATCCAAATTCCACCGTGATTGTCGTCCCAATTTCTTGTTGTTCCTCTTAGTATTGGCCTTGGCTTCAAACTCTCCGCTTAAATCATAACAACAAATAAAAAGTATTAGAAAATTCATTAGTTGGCATAAATTTAATCAAATGTGTTATAATTTCTCTCTCTTTGTAAGTTGGCTTTTGTTGTTGTTTCTATACTATATACTATAATTTATTTTTTGAATTTTGATCGTGATGATTAATACAGGATTTTGGATGAAGTGGTAGATCAAAAACTAATATGAAATGAATGTCTAAAATTGAGACAACATAACTTTTTATCGGTGCATTCTGAAGTTTAAATTAGGATTTAATTTGAGTTTGCATCAAACCAAGCTTAATTAGGTAGGTGGAAATTGTGCACGAGGAATGAACCACACCTTTAATAGGTTTGGGAAACATTATTTCATTGTTTTTGGTGCTCTTTATATGGTGTTCAACGAATCTTATGTTGGTGAGATTCATGTTTTCATATATGTGCCGAGTTGGATTTCTTCTGAGTCAATTTGAAGTAAGTCTCATCCTCATCCTATCTGAACTAAAGTCCAAATACGTGTTTTCAATCCTGCGGCAAGCTAAAATTTCAACAAAATTGTGCTATTTTAAAATATTAAATTGATCGTGAAATTTTAAAATATGTCTTATATATAAAAATAAATACGTCTTTACATACAAATGAGTCAAAACCTTCTATTCAATCCCTAAGTTTAAATTACCGTGCTCATATTTAAATTATCAACTAAATTTAAAAATAGACAATCCAGAGAAAAAAGGCTGTCAGTTCAAAATTTGTTAATTCATTACGCAATTTTAAATGTTAATGTCAATGAAAATGTCGATACTTCAATGTCAATGGAAATGTCGATAGAAATATCGATAAAATATCAATGTCGATGGATATTTATGAAAATGTTATAAAAATAAAATATTAGTAAAAAATATTGAAATTGACAAATAATCATTTTAATATTTTAAATGACTTAAAATTTATTAATATTAATATTATGTCTTGTTAACATTATTTTGTTTATATATATATATATTTTATATTTGATCGATTTTCTTCCTATAATACTATGACAGTGTCGATTTACTCCTCAAGTTAATATCGATCACATTGATACACGAAAATATCAATCGAAATGTTAACATATTAACGGGTATTTAACCCCTTAACCTTAACCAGAAGTTTCATTTTAAAATTGAAATTATTTTAGTGAACACAATTAACATCAATTTAACACTTGTTAATTGTCTAAAAAATAAATGTTTTTTTGTTGGATAATATTAGAGTATTTTATTGCTTTTGTTTAAACTCAATTGTCAAAGCGAGCAGCTCAGCGGTAATTGACATATAACTACTAGCGTTGTATTAAAAAAAATTTAAATGTATGAAAATCAATATAAATCCAAAAAATGTTCACCTCTCCTGTCAAAGGCGTCATGGGTACGAAGAGAAAAAAAAGGGAAAAAAAGAAAAAAGGCCCAACGAATTTGCTTTCCAACCAATCGTCCACGCTTGGTGGGTCCCAGCGAAGCACCGGATTCCCTCGTTTAGCGACACGTCGCTTCGGAAGCTCAAATATCAGCGGTATTACGGCATATAACGGAGACAAATCCGTGTCAGCGTCACACACCGGAATAAAACCCGGGAGCACGCGAGGCAGCACGTGACCCCCCTTTTGGATACTTCACAGGATGCTCTGAGACTTAGCGAAAATAAAATAAGACGGTCTCATAAGACGGAGGCAGAGTATAAAATCTGGCCTCTAAGTTTAATGTCACTCAGTTTTCTCTCTTCCACTCTCTCTCTCTCTCTGCCGGGGCGGCTGGTTCTGTAGATTTCCAAAACCTTTTTGTTTCTCGCTCAGAAACCCTAATTCTACCAAACGCCCCGCGCAACTGATACTTGGAGTTGCTTTTTTTTGGTGTGGTTGCAATTTTGGGCTCCAGGTTTCGCGGTAATGGAGGATTCTTTAGGGCAAAAGCCGAACCAGCAGGAGGAGTTCACTTTGGTTTCGATTTCTGAGCTTGCTTCTTCGTCCTCTTCGTCCGCGCCGGTGGTTGCGCGGTTCGGCGGCGATTCTGGCGCGGCGGAGCTGCGGTTCCGGCGGGAGCCCGATTCGGACGACTTCACTGTCGATCTCCGGACTTCACAGGTTCTGTTATTAGTACACAGTTTTCCGTTTTAATTGTTAGTTTAGGTATGGGAGACTTTGGAAGAAATTAAGAAGAGAGCTAAATATATCTACTTTTTGTTTTTCGATTATCGGTTCTGCATTCTTCCATGACTGGAAATAGTGAATGCATGGTGAGCTCTCTCGTTTTGCTTCACATGGAAGCTTAACTATGTACATTTCTTGTTCTTATGATTGGCTGAGTAGCTATAACCTATCCACTTACACTTTTTGGTTTTGTATAAATTATTGTAAGGTATTAGAGTTGAAGACTATGTTTGTACCTGCAATGTCATACTTTTCGAATTGTTATCAGTAGTTCACGATTTGAGTTTCCTGAATCAAATTAGTTTGCGAGTTCCACTGGCGGGGAAGATTAAGAACATATATAATAGATTGTATATACCATCAACCGTCAGCTGTTAGCTTAAGTATTTGGAGTTTAGTGGTGATCTAATAGCAAATGACTAGTTTGGAGATTATGACATTATTAATTGATTTGTTTTTTCATGTCTTTAGATATTCCGGTTAGGCCCTGTTCAGTCAGTTTGCATATCTGAAAGTGAAGACCGTAAAGAGGTAAGCATGGTAGTTTTATGCTATGCTAATAATGTTCAAATTATACATGTGAGGCCGTGTCTGAATTGTTTGCATGGTCTTCAGTGCAGAACAATGATCTTTCTTGCACCATTTTGTTAGATTCTGCCATTTTTTCTTTGTTGACTCCCTTACAAACTTGTACATTGCAATGGTGATTTAGTATCTGATGTACTATTTAGCTTGTTGAAGAATGAGGTTCCATTCACTGCTTATATAATTTAATAGTTTCACTTCTGAAACAGAACTCACATTCCAGAGGAGTTACCATTCAATTTAGAAACGAGGAAGAGAGCAGGGCATTTCATGCTGCTTTTGATAAGAGGAGGAAGGATGTTATTGTTCAAGGTAGGAATTTTAAGTTCATCCCAAATTTTGCAAATCTTCACATAAATTTTTGTAGACAATAATGCTTTACTGAAGTGAACTTTTTCCTACATCCAGGCACCCGATTACCGAATGGCACAATTTCCTCCTTAAAAAGCAAGTTCGATGATAAAATAGAATCATCATCTGCTAAGATGTACTTTCACTACTATGGACAACTTTTACATCAACAAAATATGTTGCAGGATTATGTGAGGACAGGTTATATAATTTAGCTGTTGCTTTATCTTGCAATTTTATTTTATCCATCACTTTCTAATTGTTCAGTTCAAATATCTTATTATCCTTGTACGGATAGTTTCGACATTGGTGTATATGTTACCTGCCCATACCATAATGCTTATGTATGCTAATTGAATTACATATTATGTTAACTTTGTTGGTTTTGTGCTTTTCAGGAACATATTATGCAGCGGTGATGGAAAATCGTGCTGACTTCACGGGTCGGGTGGTTGTTGATGTTGGTGCTGGTAGTGGTATTTTGTCATTATTTGCTGCTCAGGTACACTAACTATAATTGTTGTTGTATTATTTTATTCTTCTGTATGGATCCACTTCAACATTTTTTTGCAATCGAATTTGAGATCTTATATTTCCAATCTTTAACAGGCTGGTGCAAAGCATGTTTATGCTGTGGAAGCATCTGAGATGGCTGAGTATGCTCGTGTACTAATTTCAGGGAACCCGGCCTTGAGTCAACGAATCACTGTGAGTTTTTTTTTAATCATATTACTTTTAACTCGTTGCAAGTATCATTATTTATGTTTCTAGTCACATGCTCTAATTCAAAATTCAGGTAATTAAAGGCAAAGTTGAGGAAATCGAATTGCCTGAGAAGGCAGACATTTTAATCTCAGAGCCAATGGGTGAGGGCTATTGTCAAATTGTCAAATATTTTCAAATTCTCCTGGAAGATAGTGCAATTTTAAAATGATTCTAAAACTTTTAGCTATCTACCCTTGTTAACTCCTCTAGATGAGCTATTATTAATTATATAAAAGGTTTAACCCCCCAAATGAAACTATTTGAAAGTTACCGATTTCCCGTTTTCCTTGATCTTGGAAACAAGTTCAATTTGGTCCAGTTAGTTACTCATTTTTCTTCTTCTTTCCTATAGGCACCTTATTGGTCAATGAAAGAATGCTGGAATCATATGTGATTGCCAGGGATCGTTTTTTGCACCAAAATGGAAAGATGTTCCCAACAATAGGAAGGTAAATTGATAGTGGAAAGTTTTTCCTTAGGCAACTTTCTTGTTTTATGTGGTTAGAGTAAAAATGTTCTCCCGATCTTCATGTAAGACAAAGATGGTTTTTGATCTTGCATACGAGTTTTGGATTCTAATACTTGACAAATTCTATATTCAGGTCATTTTATTATCATGATTTATAGAAGTTTTCATCTTCATGCTTTTGTTTTCTTGTATTTTTTAGTTGTGAAATTTGAACATGATTTTTAAATACTATTTTGGGTTCTTATGAGTTAAGATGTCCTCCATATAGGATTCACATGGCACCTTTCAGTGACGAATACCTATTTGTGGAAGTAGCTAACAAGGTAAGACTGTTAATGCACTTCCTTAATAATCATATTAGTCCAGCAAAATGCATCATGTCACGTTGTCTCATTTCCTCAAACTGAGTTTGGACTGAGGACTCTTTTTACACAACACAACCGATTTGTTTGAATACATTATTAATATTATTAAAATTTGATCAAAATAAAATTAATCCAAATAGTCTAGTTATGACAAGTATCTTTTAGTATTCTCTAAATATTTTATAGGCTTCTCTTTTGCTGTTTTATCCTAATTACACTTCTGAATAAAACATTTATGAGGTCTAGGACTCTAGCTTTCATGTCCTTTGGCTCTATATGCCACGATATGTATTATGATTGAGGAAGCACATGATTGAATGAACATTTAAGTGCAAAATCCTTACATCGTTCCTAATTCCATTTTTCTGCCATAAAATTTTTAAAAAAGAAATTTAATATATTCTGCTCTTTTTATAGGCCCTCTTTTGGCAGCAACAAAACTATTATGGTGTTGATTTGACAGCCTTGCACGGATCGGCATTTCAAGGCTATTTTTCGCAGGTATGCACGACTTTTATTCATACTTTAGATTGAAATTTGTTGACAAACGTAGAAGTCAAATCTGGGTTCTGGCCCATTATACGAGCATTTCAGAATGACATCAACATGAAATGCATTTGTATGACGGGTTAGTGAGAACTTCACCATGATGTATGACAATATTTGAAGGTGGAACTTGGAGCTGTATCTAGATTTCTGTTTCTGTCACTTTAAATGTGTATTACAAATATTTTGTTTTATATCTCATACAGCCAGTGGTGGATGCTTTTGATCCAAGGCTATTGGTGGCCCCTTCAATGTCTCATGTCTTAGACTTCACAAATGTTAAGGTATTATTACCCTCTTGAATAAGAAATTGATTTTTTTTTGGGTTGTTTTTGTCATGTGGAACGGACTGAACAGTAGCTTCTCCTTTAATGTGTTGCCATCAAAGTAGGCTATGTGTGGGGGTCGGTTCTTGGCCAAAAGGAAAATTTAAAACCAGTGCTGAAAACTGATTTTTCTGAAAATGGGAACTGTGACCAAAATGAAGGAAATAGACCAAAATTGAACTAAATTACTGAAACTGACAAACTATATCTGTTTTGGCTTATGGCTTGTATACTCCTACACTAAAGTGGTTTTTCTCAGTTTTTTCTTACCACCACGGTACCACCTCCCCCTCCTGACATATGCCTCCTAATGAACTCTGACAGAATATTCACTCTTAATTTCAGGAAGAGGAATTATATGAGATTGATATTCCTCTGAAATTCACTGCTACTGTGGGTGCTAGAGTGCATGGATTGGCCTGCTGGTTTGATGTATTATTTAACGGCAGGTAAATATCAGTTTTGAGAAGAAATTTTATCTGATATTATTACACATTAGAGTGCTATAAATCCCCTTCCACTGCTTATGAACCACTTCAATCTACAGCACTGTGCAGAGGTGGCTTACCACTGCCCCGGGTGCGCCGACAACCCATTGGTACCAATTACGTTGTGTCCTTTCCCAGCCTCTTTATGTCATGGCAGGGCAGGAAATTACTGGCAGACTTCATATGGTCGCTCACAGTGCTCAGAGTTACACAATTTATTTGACTCTATCAGGTTGATCTCTTCTTCTTTCTTGTATTTTCGGTTTCTCGGTTTGTGTTTTGGGCTTGCTGACTAAGATTGCTATATAGCCAAAATGTGGGGCCCTGGTGCCGAGCAAGGAGGAATACTTCAGTCGTCCTCGTGCAAACTCGACCTAAAAGAGCCCTACTATAGAATGTCCCAACCACAGGCGTACTCCATGGTTCAAGATCAGCAGCAACAACAGCTATTGCAGTCACAGGTATTAGTTTCACGGTTAACCTGTTATCTTATCGACTTTGCTGTGTTAATTATGCAGATGGATGGATTTTTCGGGCTTTTACCGGGTGTGCAGTATCTAGAAGTATATGCTTTAATAACTGCCTGTCATGTTTGAAAAAAAAAATCCATTTTCTTTCAAAAACGCAAAATATGTTTGCATTTTCAAGAAATATGAACCAATCAACCAGGGGCGGGTATAGGCTGCTGCCTATACTTATTTATACATATCTGGAATGGAACGAGGAAATGAGAATCACTCATTCCTATGGTGTGTCTAAAACTAGTTAAGAATGGCTTTTTGACCAATGGATCCAATACCAGATCAGGAATCAGATCGTCGATTTTGAAAGACTGAGATTTTCCTAGAAAGTGTAAGCAATCTCATTTCGATTCTTAAATTTGTGGACCTAATCTTATTGTTTCTAATATTTTCTATATTATCTCTACTTTTCTGACAATTCTCCACAAATTCTTTTCCGATAAATTTTCATTCCCATTTTCATTAAGTTTTTAGGGAGCCAGGTTGTCTACCTCTGCATTCCACTAGTTATTTGGGGGTAGCATGTTTAATTTTGTTGTTACTCAAAACTATCTCACCTTTTTCGAACAGGACATACCGATTCAACCCCAGGATTTAGACGATGCTGACTTGATGCTACAGGCTTCGCCGAACTCAGGGGCTCCGCTCAATTCATTGATGGAAAACATTTAAGCATTCGGGACGACTCTCGGGGTCAGTGTTGTGACATTAGTTTGCCTTTGTTGTTATGGTGAACAAGAGCTCGGCGGGCCTCTCGTTGTTTCACCTCTAACCTCTCCCACAGGTAGTGAAGCTATCATTGATTATCATCCGTCCACAGTGAGATTCTGTACAATTTAATTATGATTCAATAAGCTTAAACAATAATCATATCTTGTTTTGTTGCAAAATTTTTATTTATTTTACGATATTAATTTTTCAGGCTTTTCAATGTTGAGCCCTAATGGTTGTTGCCCCATTTGTAATAGGTTTGGAATTTTGCCTAGAAATCATTGACTAGAGTGCTGTTTCAGGGAAAGTTTAGGATGGTTTTCTGAGAAAAAATGCTCTTGATTCAATTTTCAGCTCTATAATATGGTCGAGTTGGGATAAATCCAGTACTCGTTATCGTCGTAGTACCTAATTTTAGACTTTATTTTTTTTTTAATTCTATGAAGCTTATCACCCACGCGTGGAGGACCTGATTTTATGAAGATTTGAAACGTTTATTACATTAGTATTTGATATTTTTGTTATTTTAAAAAATATATCTCGACACTTTTGAAACTTAAATCCTATTATGGATCTTATATTAAAAAGACTATTTAGAAATTAGATCTTGTGTTTTCAATTTTTTTTTTCATTTTCATCTCTATTTAAATATGTTCCTGTGCTTACCAGTGACATTCCGGTTCTTGTGAGAAAAATTTTAACATAAATTTTATACAAAGATTTTCCTTTATTTAAGGAAATTCATAAGTGAATTATAAAGAAAAAATAGATAAAATGAAAACAAAAGGTGAAAGGGCCAAAATAATATTTAATTTTAGTACTGTATACTTTTGACACCATAATTTATTGAATTTTCATTCGTATACCCACAAATTAATTGTTTTTTTGGTATTTTCAAAGTTCTAGGCTCAGGCCGTGAACTCTTTTTTTTATATATATATATATATATATATATATTTTTAAGTACAATGAACTTCAACCTAAATAATCAAACCTTCAAAAAATATATATATAAAAACTAGCCTTGTTGGAGGGTTAACGCAAGAAGGAGAAGGAAAGAGAGAGATAAGCATTTTTATTATTTTTTCGTTTTTTAATATAATAATAAATCTATGAATTTGGCGGTAACTAACTGCTTAGAATATTTGCGGATATTTTACGCTTTCAAGGTTAAGACTAGAAACTAAAATTATCTAGCCCACGTAGAAATGAAAGCAATTTTATTAAATGTTTTTCTTTTCTAATTTTTTTTTTTTTTTTGGATATTACGGTGAGTATATGAGTTTGTCCCTAAATAAATTCTGGTAAAATAGAGATTTTAATATGAGACATGGCCATTCTATTTAATATTTGACGTGGGCCTAATGTCGAATCGGGAGTCAAAACAAGATAGGTTCGGGTGGGACGGCACAAAGATCGAGAGAGAATCGAAGGAGGGTTCTCGACCACCTCGACGTCGAGGCCTGGTCGGCTGTGGTCGGTCCGACGTATTTCGATGCTTACCCGATTCGTGCGTCCGAACTTCCCTCCTGTCGTTTGATCCGTTCTTCTTTTATCTTCCCAGAACAATAATTAAAGACCGACACCAACTATCAACCATCAATATTGTGCCACAAACTTAAAGAATAATCAACCATCAACCATGCTACAATATCAGACAACCAATGCTGTAGAAACTACAGCAAACAACCAACAACCAACCACCCATGTTTTAGAAAGTATAACATGTCATAGGCTCTGCAACATTTAAAAACCAACCATCAACCATCAATATTATAGAAGCTACAGCATGCCATAGCCCTCCACCCCCACTTGTTATACTGGAAAAAAAACCAAAAAAATTGAAGTTAAATAATCACCCGAAAATTTTAAAAAATATTGTAAGTGAACATTTTTAATGAGGCAGAAAATGCGCGAATTTGTAAACAGTTGGCCACCATATAAATATACTCTACCTCTATAATTCCAAAAATTTCTTAATAGTATGATATGAAACTAAGAATGTCTTTAGGTAGAAACTACAACAACATCTGACAACCAACGACCAGAAACCAATGTTGTCGACCAGCAACATTTCAGTCTGGTGCATATATATAAATCTAAAATATCAACATATAGAAAGCAATTCAAATAAGAAAAATATTTATAATAGTCAAGCAGCTACTAAACAACCATGAGTAAAACATATTAGCAAAGAGCCATAGAAGCAGTAGTACAAGATTCTATTTTTTTCCTTTAATATAGTTTTTTATAAATATTCCTATATAATGACAATTCCTAAAGAATTCCATCAGATTCGACCAACACATAATTGATTAAACCAAACCATAATTGATTAATAACATCTCAGAGATGCATAATAAAATTAATCTGCCTATATAAATTTAAGATATCAACATAACTAAGAAATTCAAATAAAAAAAATTTATATCGACAAAGAAGCCACTAAAAAACCCCAAGTAACATAATAAAGACCTAGAAATCACATACATAAGTACAAGGTGTTATGTGTCATGATCTTAAAAGACCTAGTAATTTAACCACTTATCATTCCCTCTTTCTAATTTATCTCTCCATCTTTCTAACTATTTACAAAAACAGAAAACAGAAATTAAATGGTTAAAAGCAGTACCTTAAAAAGAATCAAATACAGCATCTTACATGTCAAAATAAGTTACTAAATAACGAAAATTATGGTATTTCATCAAACATATTACATTTACAAACACGCAAAGGTTCTAACAAAACAAAATCAATATAGACTCAACATGTATTATAGATTATATGCATTAAATCAAACATTTGTTGTTATAAAACAAAATGTTGATTAAATTACAATATAAATAATAAATAATAATTTATTTTCATAAATTAAATTTATTGTTATAGAGAACAAAAACGACCCGCGGGACAAGGAGTTGAAGCCTGAGATCATCGATTGAGGGAGACCGGCCCGCGACGTAACGGACCAGCCCAAGGAAGGAACGACCTAGCGTCGAGGCAGAGAACGAGGAAAGTGACCGGCGAAAAACCAATCGGGCCGAGAGGGCTCGGTTTCGACCCCTGCTCGGTCCCGACCCCTGCTCGGCCCACGACCCAGCCCGTGAATCTCTCGCATGCGATCAACGATCCCTCGGACCCTGCAACGCTGGCTACAGAGGTCCTGGAATCATTTTCACGGTTATAAGTAGCAGTGAGATTCAATCCTGAGGAGGCAAGTGACTTATCCTTAGCTAACTATTTTCTCAACTCTCCTTCGCTAACTTAAACATCGGAGTCTGTGTGACTAAGGTCACACTGGTTTAGATCGATTTGATTTTGCAGATATCGATTCCCTTATCATCGAGTTAGGTGTGTGCAAGAAGAAGAGTCAGAGGGTCAAAATCCATGCATCAACATTTATTATTAAATTTAAAAAGTTTTGTTTAAGACATCACGACTTAACCATTCATGTATATATACGTTGAGTACTAACAAAATAATGGCCCATAAAAAGTAATTAAAACTCAGATTCTTATTCTCACAAAAAAATAAAAATAATATTCATGATAGTTGACCTCAAAGTTAAATCTACTAGAAATGGAATATAAAAAATTAAAATATTCAGCAAACTAAATAAAACAAAATCATAAAATGGTACAAAAACTAAATTAATCTAAAAAACAATTATACTGAAAATATTCCACCCAAGATTATTTAAAATTTCTAAAGTTATTTTATAATTGAAAAATATGCGTGCAGCACGTGTAATACACTAGATCCACTTTCTTCAAAAAAAAAAAAAGTAAAAAAAAAAAAAATTCTACTGAAGTCGGAGTAAGTCTTCCACCGTCACGCCGTTTTTCGACCGTTCACAGACATTTTCTCCGAGCTGTTCACCGTGCCGCCGTTCGCCGGCCATCGCCGTGCCGCCGTTCGCCACTCACAGTTCGCCGGCCAGTCTTCGCCATTCGCCGTTCGTCTTCTCATTCGCCAATTTCCGCAGTTTCGCCGTTTCGTTTAGCTCGCCGTTTCCACTGTTCATGTTCACCGTTTCGCTTGCTAATCGCCGCCGGCCTGTTGTTCGCAGTTCGTGTTCGCCGATCGGTCGTAAGAACCTCAATCTCCGTTCCATTATGTGCGTTCCCATAATCCCCCTAATTTTTTTGCTGAAATTGTTATAATGCATGTCTCTGTTTTTTGTTTGTAATTTGTAATCACACATCAGTAGCAGTAGTAAATTGCTACAAACAGTAAAATAACATCAGTAGCAAATATTTTCTCAAATTCATCAACATCCCTTGAAGATTAGTCTCTATTCATATCAGTGCCAATTTACCATAGATGCACCAACCTTGTCATATCAGTAACCTTTCACCAAGCAAATCAACAACTTTCTTTCTGCATATTAGTATCCATTCACCAAGCAGATCAGCAACTTCAATTTGGTCAGCACCTACCTTATTTGGTTAATTGGTGAATGCTGTATAATTGGGTGATTTGTTTCCTTTTTGGTCTTTTATTACCGTCGTTCTCCGACATTATATAAATAGCGTAATTCCTCAGTACCTCTAAATAGTGTAATTCCTTTTACTTCTATTATGGATACTCAGATATAAATTATGAATTTGTATACAAAAGCATGTTATTATTTGCTAATTAACTCTTCTGGTTTTTGTTTTTGTCTTTGCTTTTCTGGTGAAAAACACCTGCTAACTTTAGTGTAGAGTTCACTGCTTGAATTTCATTTTGCAAAATTTTTGTGTAATAGCTTCATTTCCTCAGGAAGATGATTGCATGCAACAAAACTAAAATTGGTGCGAAATTTCTGCAGGATTTTTTATGGGGAAACAGAAATTTGGCAAACATCTTGGAACTGAGGAACTGTGGTTTTTCGTTTTGAACCAGAAATGAGTGCGGAAAATTCATGGGTTCCTGTGACCCCGATTAAGCCCCCTTTGCGAATATGGTCGCCTGGGGAAGGAATTCAGCACAAATCTGATGGGTCTACTGAAGAAGCGCAAGCTGGTAAAATAGTTGCATGTTCAGATACTTCTAATTTGGTGACACTTGACAGTCAGAAAATATTGGTGGTGGATTTGAATGAGATGAAATGGGTTGAGAATGATGCAAATTGCTGTTCCTTTCCTGGTTCTTTGGAGAAATCAGAGTCCATTTCACATGGTAACTTCTGCTAAATGAATCTTCCTCTGTTTTTGATCTTGATTCATATTTCAGCTTGAGCATGATATATCATTATCCGGGTCAATTTGAGTTTTCAAATCACCATTGTATTTGATTGCTGAAATGCCGGTAAAATTGAGCATAGCCCAATTCAGAAGCCATTTTTGTGGGTGAAATAATGTAACATGAATGGCGGAAAATTTTTGTTTTAGGGCCGTCAGTGTATGGCATGGTAATATTTCTTTCATCAATCTACTTTTTGTGTCTATTTGATGTTTGAGGGCATGCAGTCTTATTGTTTTACTCATGAGTACATAAAACAAAAATGAACAGAAATTGATGACTCATTTCTTTAATTTGCAATGGTCTCATTAGAAATGTACTTTTTCCTACTCATGTTTTTAGATTTTCATTCATGTTTATGACATTCTTTTTGGACCTAAAATCATGTCAGGTGAACTTTCTAGCAAGACCATCCCCCATTTTGTTCCCCCGACCCCCGAAAAGAAGACGACTGTGGAGCTCAAACAGGTAGTTCAAGTTCAAAGCTCATCAGCAGGAGAAAAAAGAGATGAGGAAGGCCGGACAGTCAGTGTAAGAACAGATGAGAATGGAATAACCAAGCTGAGACAATATAGAAGAAAGCACAGGCCCAAGGTAGTTACAGAAGGCAAACCAAGAACATCTAAATCAGGCACTCGGAGAGCTGCAAATTCCAAGGAAAACTTGACAACTAAGAGGAAGTATGTCCGAAAGAATGCAGTCAACAAACCCTTGGAAACTCCTCTTGAACTAGGAATTCTTAATCCGGTCACCCCAGAAGTTGCTAGTTATAATGAGAACTCAATAGGTCTAAGGACGTACATTCGAAAGCGTGGAGTCTGCACTGCAGAAACTCCTATGGAAATAACAGGAGCTTCAACTAATGTGGAAGTGCGGAAACGAAAACGTAGTAGGAAAACATGCAGGAGGAATTTAAAATTTGACAATGAAGGAAAACAGAAAGATGAAAGCTCCTCATGCGAGTATTCATCCAACATTTCAGAATTTCTGGTGCATATTCTACCTACTGGAAATTATCATTCACATTTAGTTGTGCAGCATAGGAAAGAAAGTGAAGCAATGCTTGAGGAAGACTGCAATTGCCTTCCTGAAAGCCAAGTATCGAACCTCGAAATTCCGATTGAATATAGCACTTCCCAGTTAAAGCCTCAAATTAATCACTATAAGGATCAGGGAAGCATGGGGAAGACCAATTCAACTAATCATTTGTTATCAAGTTCAAAAGAGTCATTCTGCAGTAGTACAACCGAAGCAAGGGGTATCAAGCAAAAATGTTGTCACAATATAAAACAAGATGATATCAGAAGTTCAGATTTAATTGAGGAATTTTATAACTCAATTTATGCGTCTCAGATGCCACATGCAGAGTATTTTCCAAAAGAGAAAACTGAAAAGGTTCTGCATTCTGGCCCATCTAGCACATATACTGGACAAGCATACAAAGTAAATAGCTTGAATGAAAATCCTTGTGCTTCAAAAGCCAGCCACTGGATATCCAGACCTCAGACACGTAGTTGTTTAACCCCAGGAATATTCGAAGGATCAGTGAACCTCAATAAATTACAACCCTTTGATTTCATCGAGAGGAGATGCGAAGATCAATCTTATGTCTCAACCCATATGCAGTCTAAATATTCCCCCAAACAACCACAGGCGATCACTGATCTTCAAAGAGATGAGAATTCTCATAGACACCATCCATCGTTAGGTGCCCAATTTGACAAGATGCAAGCAGCAATGGTGAGGAAAAAACGAACACGGAAGCCTCTTACTTCATCGCATTCAAATATGGATGGAGTGCGTTCAGGTTCATTCATCATAATTAATTTCATTTCTTTGCTAATATCGATTATTATAACTTTTTGTGAAACAAAAGTTCAAGGGAGAGAACTTTTCCTAATAAATTGCAGTGTTATGCAGGGGATCCTTCAGAAATAATTTCAGGACTGAAGCTTTCTACAAACGCCATGGTTGAGGAAATGAATATTCTAGACATTAACAAAGAAGGGAAAATATCATCATGTGAGGAGCAAAATGTAATGGTGCCTTATAACATGCAGAATCAAGGGCATGGTATGCTTGCAAACAGAGGTGTTGACTCTGTGGTACCATTTGAAGGTTCTTTGGTTCCTGCCAAAAAACGAAGACGACATGCCAAAGTTGATCTTGATGGAGAGACAAATAGAGTTTGGAAACTATTGGTGGGGAATTTTAACAGTGAAGTTGATGATGGATCAGATGAAGCTAGGGACAAATGGTGGGAGGAAGAGAGAAGAGTTTTTTCTGGACGAGCAAACTCGTTTATTGCAAAGATGCATCTAATACAAGGTACAATTACCTACTTATGAACATCCCCATGTTGCAGGGTCTAAGTTTTTTGAATTTTCATTGTGAGGGAAGTAACTGAATTTCGACATAGTCCCTGAATTTTACTTTGTAATGATTTAGTCTTTGCCTTTAGATTTGTAACGATTTAGTGGGACGCAACAAAATGGGTTTGTACACTAAAAAAAAACTAAATCGTTATAAATGTACAGAACTAACTAAAGTTAAAATTTAAATGTATAGGGATCAAATTGTTATGTACCAAAGTCAGTCTACTCAGATTAAGGCAAAGGTACCAAATTTGTTTTTTAACCTAGATTTATATAAAATTAACTTTCTAGAATTGAAGTACAGTTCGGGACCAAAAAGTGCTTTTAACCTAAATTTTTTACTTTTGGCTTATGTATGTGGCACACGCTTGATCCATAGTTCAACCTTCCTATGTAGAATAGCTGATTTCAATCCTCTACGGATGGGGCTATTTCTTCTTTCCTTTCTTCTGTTAAGAACGTACTAGAAAAGCAAAACCTTAGAAACTAGAAGAAAGTTTACCTTTTGAATAAACCAACTGCAGGCAAAAGAGTTGCCCATTGTTATCATTTCATACAATTTAAAAGTGTTAATTTTCGTACAATAATTCCACAGGAGATAGAGGCTTTTCACAATGGAAAGGATCGGTTTTAGACTCAGTGATTGGAGTTTTCCTCACTCAGAATGTCTCGGATCATCTTTCCAGGTGAACTGTATTTTTAACGTGCAAGAAAATAGAATGGTTAAATATCCTCTGAATTGTTTGCCTGTCCCTTCCATACAGCTCAGCGTTTATGTCGCTTGCTGCACGTTTTTCCTTAAAACCTAGAAGCCTTCATGAGTCAAGCATTGGTGATCCGACAAGCTTTGTAGTCACTGAACCAGAAGTTGATATAAAATGGGCTGAACCAGAAGTCGATGTAAACTGTGGAAGCAATCTTTCATCAGAAGATATCAGTGTCAATGGGTCTGCTTCATCTGTGGAGATCATACAGATTGTAGAAACAACTAAGCTAAAGTCAAACTCCAAGAATGTAAGTGGTAATGATTTATCAGATGAGAAGTTAGAGGGTACTTGTAGTACGTCAGAAGAGAGGTACATCGATCAAAGAGAAAACGATAATGCAGATTGTCCTAAAAGCCTTTTAAGAGAATCCCTTAGTCAATCAAGTCATGAATTGCAGAAAACTTCAATCTCAGGAGTTACAGAAGTTCAGTGCTTTAAAATGTACAGAAAAATCACCCGATTTTCCTACGTTTACAAAAGAAGGGATGTATATGATACTAATGAACATGCACAGACACTAGATTCTGCATCTCAAACTACTGTCTTGAACACCAACGACGTTCAAGCAACAAGACATTCTAGAGAATTGTGCAATGTCAACCAAAGTGACCGAGATGTAGTATTCCAGTCAGAAGGAAGATTTATTGAAGTGTCACACGGTGTTGAATCACAGGCTTCAATGGGCAGCCAAAAAGCACATCAAACTCAGCAAGATTCTGTGATAGACAGTACTCTAGATTTTATGAGGAAGACTGAAGAACCAGATCAAAGTAAGCATGGACATACACTTTGTAACAAGTTCAATGATACAAAAGCTGGTACACCTAAATCAAATGGAAAACGAGTTAAAAAGGAGAAAAAGGATGATGTTAACTGGGACAACCTTAGGAAACAGGCAGAGGTAAAGGGAAGGAGAGAGAGAACTACAACTACCATGGACTCATTGGATTGGGAAGCTGTACGATGTGCGGATGTTGATGAGATTGCTTTCACCATCAGAGAACGAGGGATGAATAACAGGCTTGCAGAAAGAATTAAAGTACACCCATTACTATGAAAATGAAATTCTAATTCCTTGGATCATCATCTCAGTTTTCAAATTGTAGTTACGAGGCTAAAAATTCTTCTTGATTTGAGCAGGGTTTTCTTAATCGTCTGGTGAAAGATCATGGAAGCACTGATCTTGAATGGTTAAGGGATGTCCCACCCGATCAAGTAAAGTAAGCTCATTTATTATTTGAATCTCATCATTTCTTTCATATTGAAAATACTGTTTGCAATGTACTGAATTCTCTGGGCTTTATACTACAAACATGTAGAGAATATTTACTCAGCGTAAGGGGATTGGGATTGAAAAGCGTGGAGTGTGTTCGCCTTCTTGCCCTGCGCCAGATTGCCTTTCCAGTAAGTTCAAATATCCTGCGCACTTCTGTTTTCTCCAACCTATACAAGGGGGTGCAACGAATAGAGATCTCCCGCCAGCTGTCTTCTCTTCCTATCACTTCACTTTGTTCGAGAGATTTGATCTCATCGGATCTCACCGGGCCGGGCGAAGGGGAAGGAAGGGGAAGGAAGGGGAAGGAAGGGATGGGTGATCCGGGAACAGCAACGGGAGAGGGCTCGTAGCCCCCCCTCTCCCTCTTCCTCACGCCTATTTGTTCTTCCGGCCTCGGAGAGATGCGGAACTCTTTTTTTTTAATAAAAAGATGAATATATAGGGCCATGATACATTCCGGAATATTGTAAAGAAATAGACTCTTTTCGTCCCCGCCTAGTTGAGGACTTATGTGTATGTTTTGGAATAGGGATGTT